ATGGGCTCTTGAGGCGTCAAGATGACCCCGAGATGGCCCACGGGGCCCCAAGAGGGCCCCAATGGCGCCCAAGAGCGCGAGAGCGCCTTTTTTGGAAGCTCCTAGGGGTGGGTGGGTGGAATTAAGCCCCCCTCTTTTTGAACAATGGTGGCCACTGCTCCAAGAGGTCCCCTATGCCACCAAAAAGAATTTAAGATCCCCCCCAAGACCTTCCAAACGAGCACCACATGGCCCGAAGATCCCAATCCCTCCGAGAAAACGCTTCCTAGGCGGTTGTTACGCTGCCTGATTTCACTACCACCGTCAGCACCTGCATCAATAGCAGCATCACTACAACCACCAGCAAGAGCACTTGGCAGCAGCGGTAGCACCAGCAACACCGCCACCACCGTCAGCAGCAGCACCAGCAGCAGCACCTAGCAGCAGCAGCAACAGCACTAGCACTATCAGCAGCACCAACATCACCACCATTAGCAGCAAATGCATTAGCAGCAGCACCAGCAGCACCAGCAGCACGATCACCATCGCCAGCATCAGCCAGCACCAGCAGCACCAGCAGCAGCAGCAGCACCACCACCACCACCAACAGCAACACCAGCACCATCAGCAGCACCACAGCAGCGCCAGCAGCATCACGAGAACCAGCAACACCAGCAGCACCCGCAGCAAAACTACCAGAAGCAGCAGCACCACCAGCACCCACGGCACCACCAGCGGCAATGACACCAGCAGCAGCGCCAGCAACACCTGCCCAGCAGCAGCAGCACCACCAGCACCAGCACCAGCAGCAGCGCCAGCAGCACGAGAATCAGCAACACCAGCAGTAGCACCAGCAGCAGCAGCAGTGCCAGCAGCAGCAGCAACAGCACCAGCAGCAGCACCCGCACCCTTCGCTACCAGAGATCTCCCCACTTCAACAGTAGTGCCCGCGCTGTTTCACTATGGATGGGCTGGTGGGGATACGCGAAGTGTCAAGAATTTCGTTTAAGTTAGCATTGAAATTATAGGCGCGAACAACAGAAACAGAAAATTAATCAGGTTAACATCATGCGCACGAATGTAATTACAACCTGCGAAAATCTTGTTCCGAACATGGAAATATACGAATCCAGATTGCATGCTGAAAAAATCGACCTCCGAACATGGAACTCACAGAAATCATGTTAGCAAAATCGCAAACAGTTTGGAACCAAAACCATTGAAATTTAGAACCCACGGGCTACTTACGGGCTACTTACGGGCTACTTACGGGCTACTTACGGGCTACTTACGGGCTACTTACGGGCTACTTATAAGTTACTTATAAGTTACTTATAAGTAGGCCGTAAGTTCATAAGTTACTTATAACTAGCATAAGTACTTATAAGTACCCCCGCCGCGCGCAGAATCTCCCTGGAAATCTCCCGGAAAAAATCCCCCGTCGGAAATCTCCCGCGGAAATCTCCCCCGTCGGTAACTTCCACAGAGATCTCGCGGAAATATCGAAGAAATCTTCCCGAATCTCCCGGAAAATCTCCTCTGTCGGAAATCTCCTGGGGAATCTTCGCAAAATCTCCCGGACAATTTCCCCCGTCAGAAATCTCCCCGGAAATCTTCCGGGAATCTCCCCGGAAATCTCCCAGAAATCTCCTCCGTCGGAAATGTCCTCGGAAATCTCGCGGGAATCTCCCAGGATCTTCCCGAAATCTCCCGGGAATCTCCCCGTCAGAAATCTCCCGGGAAATCTCCCGGAAAATCTCCCGGGAAAAATCTCCCCCGTCAGAAATCTCCCAAGAAATCTTCCGGAAAATCTCCTGGGAAATCTCTCGCGTCGGAAATCTCCCGGGAAATCTTCGGAAAATCTCCCGGGAAATCTCCCCCGTCGGAAATCTCCCAGGAAATCTTCCAGATAATCTCCCGGGAAATCCCCACCGTTGGAAATCTCGCAGAAAATCTCACAGAATTTCTCCCAGAAATCTCCCAGGAAATCTCCCCCCTCGGAAGTCTCCAGAAAAATTCTTGCACGTCGGAAATAATATTCTGGAGAATTCTGGCTGTGAAACTGGAGCCATACAGTGTGAAACAGCACAGGGGTGACACGTGTCACCCCGAAAGCCGTGTGGGCAAAACCCAATTGTTCCACCCGTACTCTGGATGCCACCATGGGACCAGACAGCGTGAAACAGCACAGGGGTGACACGTGTCACCCCGAAATAGGTGAAGGGAAACCCAATGTTGTCACTCATACAGGGGTGACACGCGTCACCTCGAAAACCGTGTGGGCAAAACCAATAGTCCGTTCGTATTCTGGATCCAACGTGGGACCATACAGTGTGAAACAGCACAAGGGTGACACGTGTCACCCCGAAAACCGTGTGGGGAAGAACAAC